ACACAGTAGAACCAGAGACAGAACGACACAGTAGAACCAGAGATAGAACACAGTAGAACAGAAGCTCGGGTCATATGTGGGTCGGTCACTTTGCTGAACTGAGAGGGTGTTTGAGGATTAAAGACTTCCTAAAGACGCCTCTGAGGGGTTCTGTAGCGCCTCCCAGACTTCAGAAGACCAGACCTGTTGAACAGGATGGGAGCTATCGGCTAAGAACCTCCTCGCTCTCGTCCTTTTGGGTTTTACTCAGACCTTCACCTCCCATCATGACAATCCTGTTTAATGTACATTTGAAACGTGACGGAGGTCAAGATCATCGTCAGTCCATAGACCTGCTGGAGCCTCGTTAGCCACACAGCTAACAAAGGTTCACTCCTAAAAACACAGACTGTCCTTTAACCCGTCTTCATTCTGAATCTGTTTACTCCGTACAAACATCACATCTGTATTCATGGCAGACGATGGAAACAGCTGGAACCATGGTCCACATGTCTACATGTTCTCCTCTCGTTGGTTCTTCACTCCGTTGGTTTCACCGTTGACCTGCTTTGTTCACATTAGAGCTCCTCTGATACCAAACACCGTCCTTGTTCAGTGACTTCATTCAGTGAACGTTTTCAATCCAAGCAGCTAAAATTAATGTTCTCCAGTCGTAGCTCTTTGACATCTATTTTAAGAATTAAATAATGACTCATTAATGAATCTCTAACACGAGACACTTCCTGTCACACATGAGAATAAACTACATACATGTGGATTCTGGACACGTGAAGACACTGAGCTAACGGCACCACGGTGGGTTTACATGGGAAGGTTCAGTCCATGTTTCTAGACCCGGTCCTGTTCCTGGGTCAGTACAGGACCGGATGAAGCTGCTGGTAAAGCGTCGGTGCTGCAGGACTGTGTTTGCGTTAGCGGCGTTAGCAGCATTAGCAGCATTAGCGGCGTTAGCGGCTGCAGCAGGTCAGGGTTGTTTAAAGGAGGCTTCGGGGATCTTCAGCACCTGGTCTCTCGCCTCTGCAGCCTTCCTCCTCAATTATCTGCCTGCTCACACTTTGTTTTCTCACCTGATGCAGAACCGTGTGAAGGTTTTCAGACACTAATGTGACGCGAGGACGCTTTAAAGGAAACAGTTTCACTCATGGGTGAAGCTAAACGCGGTAACGAGGACGTAGCTGCTGGAGGTCTGACGGCATGTGTTCATGAAATCTGAACCTCACTGACTCCAAGAATCAACACATTAAATATGAGTCTGAGCTGCTGAGATCATTTTTATATTAATCGATAAGTAGATTAATTAACGGCCAGCATCAGGTCTGCTCGTTAACTGAGTCCATTTCTAGTCACAAAACTGTTCTGGGATCAGATTCGTGGATCCTTCGAGGTGTTTCTTTGCTTCACACTATAAACCGAATTATTAGTGAAACAATTAGTTGATCAATCAGTTCATTGATCGACCAAAAACTGATCAAGAATCTTTTTCAACACGTTTTTCATTTCAGACATTTTATCAAGTGAAGTCCTTAAATGAGCATTGATCTGTTTTTATGTGTATTTTTGTGCTTCATGTTGTTCTGAACAGAGTTTGTTAATTAATCGAACGGCTGATTGACTGAGTGAATGACTCAGCAATCAGTGAAACGGCTGATTCATCGTTTACTCAATTATTTAAACGACAGAAACAAAAATCACAGCGAGAGTCGTGTTTAATTAAATGCTTCACACTCATTAGTGCTTCTGTACGTCTGGATGTGTTCTAACTAAACGTTTGCTGATCAATTAGTCGCTTGATCGGCAAAAATTTAATTTGGAAACATTTTGATGATCAATAATTTCCAATAAATTCTTCTGCATGTGATTATTTTCTGCTTTTCTCTCTTCTCAATTTCTTCATGTAAATAAATATCCTGCTTTTATTTTATTATAAATAAAATACAACTTGATCAATTAGTTGATTAATAAATTATCTGATGATCAAAACTCTTCTCACATGAAAATGTTTTTGTCTTTTCACATCTAAACAGGATTAAAGTTGAAGTTTTTCGTGATTTACTGATTAATCAATTAGTTGACCAACAATTAATATTTAATTGTTTTTTAGTTATAATTAGTTTGAGTCACTTTTATGAAAAAAATATTAAATATTTGTCTGATATCAGCTCCTTAGCTGTAAATAATAAAAACTATTTGTCAGATTTATGGATTAAATCACTTTTCTGAACAAAAAATGAAAAAACAAAAGAAATCTGGCATCTTTGCTTCATTTAATCTAACATGTGAATATTTTTCTGTTTCACATCTTTATAAGCTGAATTAATGGTGAAATATTTATTGATTTATTGATTTATCATTTAGCTGAGTGGCTCCTTGTCATAATTAACAAACTACTTTATCAGTCGGTTGATAGAAAATGGTTCATTAAACACAGACAACAGATTTCTGAGCGATCAATGAGCTGATGGGCAGAAGCTGGACTGGTTCTGGTCTGATTCTGGGGGGGTCAACACCAGCTGCTGGACTCACTGAGGCAGGAGTTGTGGGTGAAGTCTCGGTGGAAGGCGTCGCACTCGGCCTCCTGCGCTCCGGTTCCCCTGCAGCTGCACCACAGGCCGATGGTGATGTTGGACGGGCTGCTGTCGCTGTAGTTGGGCGTCACGTCGGAGCCTGAGGACGGAAACCAGGAGATTAGCCGAGAAGAAAGGTAAAGAGGATTTCAGCAAATTGGGAATGGAGTCGCTGGATGATTTCCAGAGAGGAAATGAGTCACCTGCGATGTGTTTCTCTAAAACCCTCAAATGAAAGATTGAAATAACGGCTGATAAAAGCCAGCTGGAGGAGCAGGAGGGACGAGTTTAGCAGCGCGGTGGCCGAGTCACAAGCATTTATATTTACACAGCAGCAGCAGCAGAGCCTGTCTGGGGTTCAAACACACGAGCTTCTTAAAGGAAATTAGCTAAATGACTCCGTTTATCAGCCAGAAACTATAAAAAGAGACCGACGGTGGACCGTCCCACCGTCCTTGAACTACTCATCTGTAACATGCTGTTTGAATATTTAATTAAATTAATTTCAATCGACATGTTTCGCTTCAGAAATCACCAGAAATAAACCGTTTACTCTGACCAACGTCTGGAAAACATGAAGTCCTGAGTTCAGACGCTTTACTCAAATACACTCATAAATATATAGAACAACTAAATCACAGCTCAGGTCTGTTCAGGTAAAAGTTCGTTACACCTCCTGCTGAACTGACCCCAGATCAGCCGGTAACTCACCGATCAGGCCCACGTAGGACATGAGGCAGCCGTGGAAGTTGTCATGAGGACAGCTGGTGACGGTGTGGGGCGTCATCTGGCAGTTCATG